GGCCGCCCGGGCTCCTCGGGAGGGGCGAGATGGAGAGCGGAAAGCGGGGAAAAATCCGGGCGGGACAGCCTGGCTGGCAGCAGCCCTGCAGCTCCCGGGGGGTCCTGCGGGACTCCCCGTCAGCCCAACTTCTCGCAGGACGTTTTTAACCCTTAACCTGTGCTGTTGTTAAGGGGTGGATCTGTTCAGGAGTCGCTGTGGGTCTGGCGTTACTTGGGGCTGTTTCTGCCTGGCAGTTGGACTTTGTGTCACGGAGTTGGGCGGGTTTCCCGAACAGCGCTCCGGGCGGCGGGCGGGCACGGCCCGCTTGGAATGTTCTGGAGAAGCGTCCGAGAGCCGAATGTTCGTGAGCAGCGTCCAGCCTGTCGGTTTGTAGGTTCTTCAATTGCGGGACGCGTAAACACGCGAATTAAACAAATTCCATTTTTTTGTCTCCTTTTTTTTTAGGAAATACGTCTTGGACTTGGTAAGAAGGATTTGGCTGTGTCAAAGAGAATAGAGTCAATAAAATGCTTCAGAGCCAGTTTAGATCTTTTAGTCTTCAAGATGCCATTTAAGCTTACAGTTAAAGCCAAATGCTTGCGGAAATCCCGCATTTCAAAGGCTGTGAAGACCCTAAGACTTAACTTGAATAGTGAGAGCAATAACAGATTTGCCCTTTTGAGACTACAAAAGAAAACAAATAAGCAATAATAGAGAAACAGACAGTGCGGCTGAGTTTAATGTGTTTGCAAAATCTGCCCTACTATGTGAACTGCTTTGTTTGTCTTTATATAAAATTAACAGGTCAGTCACAATTTTATCCTGTTTTTTTGAGTACTGCTTTGCAGCTGCTTATATGATATTTATTGATTGATACATCAGTTCATGAGTCTTTGAAACTTTCATTTAGGGATTAGAACAAGGGAGGAAAATAAAAGAAAATCTGGAGTTTCCCAAATTAATAGATTTCTTTTATATTTACAGAATTTGGAGTAATACACCCAACCAGGCCTGTCTCCTAATTTGTGTTTGAGACAGCAGGTGGCAACATAGTTTCAAGCATGTCTCCAATGTTTAACTTTGTCATGCACAAAATAATCTTATAAAGACCATAAAAATAATTTTATTTCTTTTTCTGAAACAAGTTTCACATTACATTTGGGTTTCTTTTACTATTTTATAAGTAAAACATCTGTGTTGTGCTAGACAGTTGTGAAAACGGGTCCTTTCAAAAAGCTGATAGTTGATCAAATGCAACTGAGGCTGAAAATAAAATTAATATTTAAATTGTGTACTTCCCAGTCTACTTTATAGCCTGCTCTTTTATCACAATGTCCACAGCAACATTATGGCTGTTTTTCTGCTCATGGTGAGCCTTTCCTGAGGTGTCTAGGATAACATCAGAATTAAGTGGTCTTTTTAATGCAAATGACTGGTTTCAGGGCTTGGAAAACGGTAGTACCATTCTATTCTTCGTCTACAAGTTAAGCTTCTAGAAAACTTGTTCTACAGTTATGGAACTGGAGGGTCCAGAATGGGAGAGGGTTGAGGGGTACAATACGCAGGCTAAATAGATAATTAATCACAAATCTGTTTCAAAAAGCCACCCTAATATTAAGAGTAATTCAGACTCTTAAAATCAAGCTGTTGGCTGTAGCACTGTGGGGATGGGGAATGCTTTCAAAGTAACAGAGTAAACATGTCCCCTGTGTTAAATTCTGATCTATATTTAATGCTGGTTGTAAATGAACACACATGAAATGTTGCAGAGCATTCATGCATCATAGTAGATTACAGGGAGGCTGTAGTACAATTGTACCACTACATCACTATTCAGTTTTGATAGCTGCAAGAAATAAAACACTTTGTTTAGGTCACACCAGTTCTACAGGAAACATCTGCAAAATCAAGAGGTAATTACATGCTAATGGCTGTTGTTTGGTACATCTCCATGTACTTATTTTTTGGTGTCATTAACAAAAAAGTGAGAATCAGGGAAACTGGAACACAGTCACTTTCCAGCCCTCTCTGAATTCATCCTTCATCCTTTCTTGCCAGTTATATTGTTGGTATATGCCGATTTTACTTGTTTTCAAAACTCTTGCCTCCATGCATGGGAGCATTTGCATAACTTGAGTCATTGAGATTATTGCTACTCTTTCTGACTTACAGGGAAAAAGAAACATTTTGGACTTGCTGTATTGAAAGGTCTGGCTAAGATATGAAATTTATTGCCTCCCTTGACACATTTAAAAAATATGTAACTATGGAATTTACATATTATCATTAGGCATTTTTGTATTTTGGACTGGACGCTTTAGCCATGCATTCCAAATTCTGTGTGTGTAGTAAGATCTATTCATGACATTGTCTCATTGTATTAACTATATTCTAACTTGCCATGCTTCCATATTATAATTCAGTAATTTCATTTAGTGATTCTTATCTCCAGAACTTCATGTAAATATTAGAATCAAACATAATGGGCATGATAGGAGTGGACGTGAACTATCTGAAGAAATAAAAATGTGTCCTATTACTGCCTGTCCAAAATATATAAAGTGCTTACACTTTTAGGAAGGAGAATAGAGGAGATGATATTTGTTTCTATGGAAAGCTTGCAGGGAGAGTTTCCACTCTCTTTCATTCTCTGAGAAATCAATTACCAGCATTCATAAGTCCTTGGCTTATCATTGCAGAGTAACTGAATAAAAATTCTTTCAGGCTATGCGCATCTCTCCTAAGGATCATGAAACACTGTACAAAGCACTTCACTCATTAATTAAACTTTCTAATAGTCCATATTAGCAAGGTAAGAGGATCAGATTTCAGTGGGAGGTAGGTGTTATGAAAGTCCAATCAAGTGGCTGTCTTGATCTCCAGACACATAAATACCATTAATATCTGGCCCTAAGTGACTTAAGAGAACAAGTCCCATTGATTTTTCAATCACTTACATACTCCTGAAAACCCCACTTGGAATTGTTACTTTTGTTTTCTAGGGAGAAAAATGGATTGGCACAATGATTACATTCAACATTGTTAGTAATAGCTTCTGGGAACTAGAGCAATGGGGTTTTGGCCTGGTTTGTAAAACGTATTTACAATACAAATGCAGCTGAGAGGGTCCCTCAAGAATACATTTCCTTGGGACTTGCATATGGAATGTTGCCAGATTTGTATTTGTCGCTGCATGGGGGACTATTTTTGAAATAGCTGAGTATACTTCAAGTGTGGTTTGTGTTCATTAATCTGTTTTTTAACTTAATTTTGTGGGAAAGGATTCCCAAACCTCTTTGGAGTAACATTGTATTCATAGAAAGTGTGTCCTTTTACCCTACAGTGATAAACATAAATCATTATCCTTCCTCTTAATACTTGTATGTAGTTTCTCTGGGATATCCAGCCATTACAGATATGGTAAACTAAATCAGGAATGTCCTTAAGCTGTATTTTTCCAAAAGAAATTTAGTAGTTTAAATTACAGAGAAGCTGTGAACAAGAAGGTAAGGTGGGCAAACAGTAGATCCCTGCCAAGAGCATTGAAAAGATGAGCATTGAAACAAAGATCACTGCTTAAGAACAGAAGCCCTCAAAGCATGAAGATGTCTTACATCCTACCAGACAGGTTAAAATTCTTACTTTTCTTTTGAGATAAAGTCTTTAATTAGCATCTTGGACTTTATAGAATTTGTCATAAGTATTTGTGAAATCTTTTCTATATTCAGGTATCTCACGAACACCTATGAATATTATTAACCTTTGTATGCACCATTGTTTGTAGG